CACTACTACCTCTTTCAGTTTTAGAATGGTATCGTCTGAAGCTCTGCGTAGCTTGTCTACCGCTATGTATGGACTATAGTGTACCATCCGTGACATCGCCTTCAAGAAAGATATGTCACAGAATAATGTTGAGGCAGCATTGCCGCCATCTTCCTTCTTCAGTTGCAACGCTGGTAGTATTAATGCGACATAGAGGGAAGATATTTTGTCGTTGAGATTCAGGGTTGAGATAACCAGGGGTTGAGGTAGGGCGTCTGGACAGAACGAGATTTCCTCCAGCACCCTGAACCCTCTGAAGGCCGCTTGAATCTGTTCCGTCTTAAAAAGAATGCTCCGGAGATTCTAAGGTCCTCATATACTTCAGTGTGTGCAGGGTATGTGGTTCTATCGAGCACTGTAAACACGACACAGTCCTCCAGTCTTGTAGTGTAGGAAAATGGGTCAGTCCATCGTTGGTGGATTGGACCCAAACCTATTAACTTTTGGGTTCTAGTGTGAATAACAGAACTTGTGGGTCTCCAATTGTAATTTTTGCTTTTTTATTTAATTTACAAAAAAAGGAGGGAACGGTTGGACAATAATCGTGTGGAGGAGGTAGTTTTTTCTTTTTCAAAAAACATAGAGTTAAAAACCACCGAAGCATCAGTTTTGGCACAGTTCCTTTTTCTTTAGACTCCTCCCTCCTGTCCTCTCTTCTTCCTCATCCACTGGTGTATTTACTGTGTAACACTGATCTGAGTTTGCTGTCGTAACCGGACCTCTGCGTGGTTATCTAAAGGCATGGAACACTCCAGGTATGCTCGAATTTCATCAGTGGTATCAGAGCAAATGTACTAGTGGATGAGGAAGTCGCTGCCATAACCGGACCTCTGCGTGGTTATCTGAAGGCATGGAACACTCTAGGTATGCCCGAATTTCATTAGTGGTATCAGAGCAAATGTATCGGTGGATGAGGAAGAGAGGACAAGAGGGAGGAGTCTGGAGAAAAAAGGAACCGTGCCAAAAACTGATGCTTCGGTGGTTTTTAACTTCATGTTTTTTGAAAAAGAAAAAACTACCTCCTCCACACGGCTATTGTCTAATCATTCCCTCCTTTTTTTAAAATTAAAAAAAAAAGCAAAAATTACAATTGGAGACCCACAAGTTCTGTTATTCACACCAGAACCCCAAAGTTAATGGGTTTGGGTCCAATCCATCAGGGGTAGACTGGCCCATTTTCCTACATTTTGTATTAAATCTTGATTAGGGATCAGATTCATTGAAACTCAATTTGTTTGGTCTGATCCCATTTAGCGAGCAGGGATCGAACCCTGTTAAAGGCCACCATCAGGTGGCTACCACGCCACTGATGAAGCAAGAGGCTTCTGGTAGCACTGAAAATATCGAACATGGTTCAGTGGAATACTCATATATGGATGATGGAGTTCCAGAATATGAACCTAAGGACGAGGATCCTAAGGAGGACCCTGAAGAGGTTCCTCGAGAAGACCCAGAGGAGTTAATGGTTTTCGGACCTGAGTCGGAAACTTTATTCCCTATTGAACCCCTCCGTGCCGAACCTCACTTGGTTCTTAACGATTCACTAGATCTTCCAAATATAATCAAAGTTGAGGAAGGAGAAGAGGTGAATCAACCATGTACCCTTGCTTTAGCTATGAGTATAGTTAAAAGAGATGTGACCAAAACGCGCAAACTTAGAAAACTGAGAAAAGCAATGCTTGATTACCTTCATATTCATATCAATTGATGTAATATTTGTATTTGCCTTATTAATATTTGTTATGTTAAGTTTTTGGTTTCATGTATTGTAAACAGACTAAGTGTCGTATTTCATTTAATGAAAGTACTTAAATTATTGTTAAATGATTATTTTGTGAATAATATATGTATGCTTTTTATAAGTGGGAGCTTTTAGAAGATAAGACTTCTAAGAGTCTTTTTGGAAGTGCTTATATAGAATTCTTGATAGGACATAGTGATTATTGCCTGTATCTGTGTGATGGGATGTACAAATGTATGCTCTTGATCATGGATCTTGCAGTGTCATTACTTTCTGATCAAGGATGATATAAGTACATGACATTGTATACTTTGTTGTACTATATAACTGAAATGTTCTATGGTACGTCTCTCTTTTTGAGAGAATGTAGAATAATGTTGGATAAATTTATCACAGGACTGAAAATGGCAACCAAGAACATAATTGCTAAGCTTAATAAAGGGGAAAACTTACCAAGTTTGGAAGAAGAACAACAGCATAGCAAGAATCACACTTCTGAGTGCAATGGCTGATGACATAATGTGCAAATTTGAGAGGCACAAAACTACATAAGTCATGTGGATAGCATTGAAAGATAAGTTTGGTGGTACTTCGACGACCAAACTTAGGAGGTTAACGATTAAGTTTAATACTTACAAACTTAAGCCAAACAATCCTACAAAGAAACATCTGAGAGAGATGGCCAACATGATCAGAGAACTTAAGAAAGCTGGACATGTTCTTTCTTATGAACATCAGGTACAGGCTGTTATTAGATTGCTCCCTGCTAGCTGGGAGCATATGAAGGTTAATCTAACCCATAATGAAAACATCGTTACTTTTAATGATGTAACTAAGCACTTGGACCTGGAGGATGAACGTTTAGAGGCTTACAAGACCTATGGACAAGCTTATTACACTGAGGATGCTGGCACTTTTCAATCAAGGCCCGATTCCAAGAAGGGCAAGAAGTTCTAAAAGAAAGGGAAGAAGGGTGGTCCTTAACCCAAGAAGGGAAAGAAGCAATTCAAGAAGAAGGGAAAGAAAGACGGGAAGAAGAAGCTAGACCTGAAGAAGGTCAAATGCTTCGCCTGCCAGAGAATGGGCCATTTCGCACGTCATTGTTCAAAATAGGCTAAGAGCGAAAAGGTATTAGTGAATTATGTAAATTCACATGTTTCATATGTTTCTAGTACTGTTTTTCTAACATAACTTATTTCTTTTTCTTGGATTATAGACTCAAGCTTCACAGACCACGTAACCAGGGATCGAGGATCCTTTATCGAGTACCGTTGGTTGCCGTATCAAAGCAAGTGGCTTTACGTTGGGAACAACACAAGGATTGAGGTTAAAGGTTTGGGCACCTGCAAATTTACTTTGTGTGGTAGGAAGACCTTGATACTCCATGATGTACTTTACGCTCCTAACATTCGGCGAAACTTGGTTTCTGCTTTATGTCTTTTAGAGTTTGGATTTGATGTAAACTTTCATGGTAAAATTGTAGACATCTTAAGCAACTCAGTCTTTTATGGTTCAGCTTTCTTGTTTAAAAAGTTCTTTGTTTTGGATATTGTTGGTGATTTTAATAGTAATGAATGCTTTGCTATTTCTTCAAGTAATGTTGATATAAACACCTGACATGCTAGACTAGGACATATTAATCAAAATAGAATGATTAAATTAGTCAAAGAAGGGTTGTTAGGTGCCATTCTGAATATGGAAATATCCCTATGTGAAAAGTGTCTAGCTGGTAAGGCAACAAGAAAACCTTTCAGTAAGGGAACAAGAGCTGAAAATCTATTGCAATTAATTCATTCCGACATATGCGGTCTAATGAGTGTGAGGGCGAGATGCGGAGCTTGGTATTTTATTATCTTCATTGATGATTTTTCACGATATGGTCATGTTTATTTGATCTCGCATAAGTTTGAAGGTCTTGAGTGCTTTAGACGATACATAAACGAGATAGAGAATCAAATGGATAATAAAATTAAAGCATTACACACTGATCGAGGTCATAAATTTTATTTGAACAATTCAAACAGCTCTGTGAAGAGAAAGGGATAATTGGACAACTGACTATCCTTAGCACTCCACAACAAATGGAGTTGCCGAAAGAAGAAGAAAACAGGACTCTTCTAGACATGGTTAGGTCTATGATGGCTCAAGCAAACCTGCCAATTTCATATTGGGGTGATGCTTTATTAACGGAAACCTTCATACTTAACCGTGTGCCCTCAAAATCAATCACTTCCACACCCTACGAGTTATGGACAAAATGCAAACCAAATTGAGCATCCTAAGGCCCTGGGGGTCGCAGCGTATATCCATGACAGTTCCCACAAGTATGAGAAATTGGGTCCTAGAGGAAAGAAATGTGTCTTCATAAGGTACTCTGAATAATCAAAGGGATACGTTTTCACAGGTGAAAACAAAGATGGAACGATGACTGAAATAGAATCAAGAGATGCAATATTCATTGAGACTGAATTTCCTCATAGAAGAGATGTTGACCACACTGTTTCTCTTTTGAGACACAGGAACAAGACAGTGCATAACAAATTGACAAAACCAGAATTGTCTAGGTGTGTCAATCTGAGTGGGAGCCAAGAAAGGTCACACCGTGACCTGAATCAAGAAAGAAAGATAAACAAACGGCTCCCATCAGAAGGAGTAATAGGGAAAGTATTCCTAAAAGACACTTTCAAATAGAAGGAGAATCTTTCTTAGTTATTCTAGGAGGGGATGATGAGCCCCATTCTATAAGAGAAGCCTTGTCAAGTCCTACCAAGGAGGAATGGATGAAAGCGATGGAAGAAGAAATGGACTCAATGAAAAAGAACCAAGTTTGGGTGTTAGTTGATCTTCCAAAAGGGAGTAAAGCCATTGGGAACAAGTGCGTTCTTAAGATTAAAAGAAAAGTGGATGGATCAATTGACAAATATAAGGCTCAATTAGTGACAAAGGGATACACACAACAGGAAGGCATAGATTATGAAGATACATTCTCATTTATTGTGCGTTTCAACTCTATTAGACTTATTCTAGTAATAGTAAATAGTTTAGACCTGGAATTACATCATATAGATGTTAAAACCACATTCCTGAATGGTGATCTGGATGAGAAAATCTATATGAAATAACCATTAGGTTTCATTGAAAAAGGAAAGGAGAACAAAGTTTGTAAACTCAAAAGGTCCATTTATGGATTGAAACAATCATCCAGACAGTGGTATTTGAGGTTTCACAAAGTAATAACCTCATATGACTTCCAAATGATACTGGAAGACCACTGCGTCTACATTAAGCAGTTTGAGGGTAATTTTGTCATATTATCCTTATATGTAAATGATATACTATTGGCCAGAAATAGTCTAGATTCGGTGGTGGCTATTAAAGAATGGCTTTTGTCGAATTTTGAGATAAAAGATATGGGCAAAGCAGAGTATATATTTAGAGTTAAGATCCAAAGAAATCGTTCAAAACGAATCCTTTCTCTTTCACAAGAGAATTACATCAACAAGATTTTTGAGTGATTTAACATGAAAGACTGCAATCCCATAAGTACCCCAGTTGCTACTGGAGTGGCCTTAAGTCCTGACATGTGTCCCAAAACCAAGTCTGACAAAAAGAAGATGGAAAAAGTTCCATATGCCAATGCTGTTGGCAATCTGATGTACGCAATGATGTGTACAAGACCAGACATCTGTTATGCAGTGGGACTAGTAAGCAAATTCCAATCTAACCCCAGTGAAAAGCATTGGAAAGCAGTGAAGAGGATCTTGAGATACTTAAAGGGCACTTCTAATTATGCACTGTGTTACAAAGGAAACAATCTGTGCCTTGTTGGGTACTCCAATGCTGATGTAGGCGGAGAGATGGAGAAAAATGAAGGTCAACTTTAGTTTATGCCTTCTTGCTAAACAATGGCGTTATATGTTGGAGTAGTAAGAAGCAAGCATGCATTGCCTTACATTCAATGGAAGTTGAGTTTATGACATGCACCGCAGTAGTGCAAGAGGCTTTATGGCTGAAAAGGTTTATAGAACACCTTGGATTTGGAAACAAGAGTACCAATCCAGTGTTAGTACACTATGACAATACTGCAGCCATAGTCTATACTAAAGATCCTAAGTATCACAGCAAAACCAAACACATTGACATCAAGTATAATTTTGTTAGAGATTATATAGCACAAAAGATTGTTATTGTAAATACATTTCAACTAAATGTATGGTAGCAGATCCTCTGACGAAGCCAATAGGTGAAAAAGTTTTTAAAGAACATGTGCAAGCCCTTGGCATGCGTAAAGTGTAATATGTAAACCTCATTAATGAAATTATATTTTTCTGTCATCACTTTATGTGTCTGTCCGAAAGTATACAATGTCTAGTATGTTGTACAGGTTAAAAAGGTTGGCTCTCTCTCACGGGCAACCGCCTTTGACACTTAGGTGGAGTGAGCAAATATGAGACATTTGTGTTCACCAGTAAAGCAGCAAAGAATGCTGATATGGTAGGGAAGAAACACAAACTTTATGTTGCCTTGACTAAAGTGTAGCAAGTCAAGATGAGATCCACGTAGATAAAGTCAGATCAAAATTTGGAATCCCACTTCCATAATACCTATAGCCAGATAACAAACTTTTCAACGTTGATGCCGTAGATATAAGCCGAGTTGAAGAATTTGGGTTCAAATACTAAGTGTGTCTGAACTTAAGTCTGTCCGATGTTAATGATAAGTCCAAAATGACATACGTTCTTATAGTGAAAGAGTAACACCATAGCATGTGTTTCATACCACATGTGTTGGAAGAACCGCAAAAAAGAAGCAAGTGAAAGATCCCTGCTTTATTGCTGTGTGAGTCCCAGCCCCTAAGGAGGAATTACCCTCCCGTTGGTGTCCTTTAACTTTGATAGTATCATGAAGATATGTTTCAGTGATTGCTACTTTAGCATGTGTCCTATGGTCATGATAGATGCGATCTAAGGTATTATGCTAGGAAAGTGACTGATTCATATCAAAGTGATATTTGGGCGAAAGGAAGATTAACTGCAATGTACACACCTATGCTAGTGTCTGTGACATGTCCCTTATGACATTTTGTTGTCATAAGTGTGGACACTAGACATATGAAAAGGACAATCTGAGTCAAACATTGACTCGAGAGGAATTAGATTTGCTATGAAAAATGTATACAAGTAAATCTAGGACATCTGAGGCATAATTTTAAAATTCAAGCTATATGTAGGAGTGGTTGACTTGTGCTAGTCCTATAAACAAGATTTCTAGTACAGGGACCCTACTGAAGACGTCATGCCCACGCGGTCACAGCAAAGTACTACGTATAAAATTGAGGTGAGAAAAAGAAACTAGACCCATGACATCTAATCCACCAAGTGTGAGTGGGAGATGTTGGAAAATGGGCCAGTCCACCCTTGGTGGATTGGACCCAAACCCATTAACTTTGAGATTCTAGTGTGACTAACAAAACTTGTGGGTCTCCAATTATAATTTTTGATTTTTTATTTAATTTACGAAAAAAGGAGTGAACGGTTGGACAATAACCGTGTGGAGGAGGTATTTTTTTCAAAAAACATGGAGTTAAAAACCACCGAAGCATCAGTTTTTGGCACGGTTCCTTTTTTCTCCGGACTCCTCCCTCTTGTCCTCTCTTCTTCCTCATCCATTGGGCATTTGCTGTGTAACACTGATTTGAGTTCGCTGCCGTAATCGGACCTCTGTGTGGCTATCTGAAGGCGTGGAACACTCCAGGTATGCTTGAATTTCATCATCTAGCATTTCGCCGAAGCTGCTCCAAGCTCTGGCAGGCTCGAAGGGGTCGGACGGAACTGTCTGCCAAGAAAAAGGTGAGAGAGGGAGAGGAAAATGTTAAGCACCGAGAGGCACGGGGAAAGAGACGGATACCTACCTGAGGCGACTGGGAATGAATGGAAATGAGATGCTCATTGCAGGGACCGATGCCATCTTGCAAGCTAGATTGGAGAGAATGACAAGAGGCGATCAGGGTGAGAGCGCAAAAAGAGAGAGAGGCGATCACTGGTCAGAGTGGATTGTGCATAGAGGGAGAGCACGAGAGAATCCATTACCCGCTTTGTTGTTTTATAGGGTTTGTTTAATTTTGAGTATGTGACAACTGTTCTTTTAAAACCCATTTAGATCAAAATTTTCAATTGATTCCAACGATTAACCATGATAGAAAAGAAGAAACCTTAAAATTTTAAAATTGCTATCATGGTTAAAAGAAATAAACTTATATTACGAGCCACATCAATAGTTAACTTGGGCCTTGGACTTTCAAAGTCCATAAATATCATTCAACCGTTAACCCAAACCAAACTTATACTTTCAAACACACGAACTGATAAAACATTTTAATATAAGTCATATAGCCCATTAGTCAAAAGTCAACACTATCAAATGAGTGTAATACGCAAAGTCGTAAATATCTCTTGCCTTCCAATGACCTCTCATATCAGATAGTAGTAATTAAAAGTATTAGTTTACAGCACTAGAGTATATGGGCCCTATGTGGCAATATATAACAAGTCAACACATAAAACAAAAGCAGGGAGGCTATACAAGCTATGACCGCACACTATACCTCCGGAACCTTCCCTGATGGGCCACCACCTGAACTATTACCTGAAGATAGTAAAAACCACGGGGTGAGACAAACGCCTCAGTAACCAACTTTCCAACTCATCATACATACTAACATGTGCTTGTGAGGTGTCAAGTGGGATAATTATTAAATCTCAATATCTATATACCAATGAAAATACAAATATGTATACTCAAATAATCTCAATCATCCAAACCCTCATTACAGGGGCTAACACACAAGCCACATAAGTCTATCCCTCACTATAGGGGATCAAACCGACCTATAGGCCTATCCCCCACTTTGGAGGACGATTAAGTAGTCACAAAGGTCCATCCCTTATTATAGGCCTATCCCACACTTTGGGGGACGAATAAAAAGCCACAAAGGTCTATCCCTTACTCTAGGGACGAAGGAAGAAACCAACTAATATGCATCAATGGCGGCCTTACCACGTGGTAGGATAGCGCTCAATCCAAAATCCAAATAACAACCAATCATTCACAATATAACAAAAATGTCTCAATCTTTTCCCCAGTATAATTCATAAGATATAAATCATATATTTTTTCCAAACTTCTCAATCATAATTTCAAAAATCCCACAAGACAATTTTCATAGCTCAAAAGATATGATTTATCTACTCGAGTTTCAAATAACAAATTATTATACCAAAATAGCAAAATACTCACAAACAACATATTAGCACATATAACAAGTGGAAAGTGGTTACCTCTTGCCAAAGCAATACTAAGGATTACCACAAGGTCAATCCTTTACTCAACCGATAATTAATCTACACAATTAATATAACCACATATTAATATAAACTAATTAATTAATTACACTTCTCTATATTAGTTAAATTTCTAATTTAATTAAATTTTTATTCTAAATTCCCGCAACTCTCATAACCCAAAAATTATTAAGTATTTTAGAAACAACTTAAAATTTCTAACAACCCAAATTATTTATTTCCCACCTCCAAATTATTTACCTTAATAAAAAGGATTTTTCATAATTTCTAAATACAAAATTATTATGTTCTAAATTCTAAAAATCTCATTTTAAGTTTAAACCTCAAAATCAAACTATCAAAAATTCAATAATACTTCAAATATTTATAAATAAATAATCTAATCAAAACTTTAATGGTATAACTACCATATATATATATATATATTTCTGTAAATAATAAACTTTTTAACTTCAATAATTATTTTAAAACCTCCAATCACCCAATAAATAAAACTAAACCAATTAAAATCTTAATAATACGCCAAACAACCCAAATAAATTACTTAACTTGAATTTAATCGGTAAAAATATAATATAAATCATATATAACAGATTTTTCAACTAGAAAAACTAATTTAAATACTAAAAACCAACAACTGGACAAATCTAACCGATTAAAATTAACAACTCATTCACTTCTAAATTTCTATAGTCATCTTTTGTCAAAACTCAATACTTAGATCATATATAAGTCTTAAAATTTTCTCCAATCACTATAGTAATAATGTAAATAGGAAGCTCAAAATATACAGGAAATATTCATAAAGAAAGTTTGATAAAAAAAAATAATTTTATGTACCTAAAATATCTTCAAAGCTTACCCTCTCCTTCACCGGTATGCTTCTCTCTCTTATGCACATTCCAACTCTCTTTCTCTCTTCCTTCTTGCGCCTTCCGGGGGGGGTTTTTCAAACTCAACCCCCAACCCCCACTGCCCCTGCCCCCTTGACTTTTTTCTTTTTTTAATAAATATTATAATAAAATATTATTATATTATATTATATTATATTATATTATATTATATTATATTATATTATTTTTTCAATTATATCATTTTTTATTTTTTTTTTAAATTAGGATATTACAGAGTGCAACCCAAGGTCTCAAAAAAAAAAACGAGCGTAACAAATTCTGCTGAAAGTTAAAACCACCAACAGCCTGTAAATGTGACTAATTAAAAAATTACACTCGGCATTTTAGTCATCATGCGCCACTTTTTAGGGCATTAAAATTTACTCACTCTCATTAAAAAAAAAATCTACTCACTCAAAAATAAAACAAAATAAAATAAAAATAAAAATGGAGAGGGCTCTGGAGGTTCGTTTATTTATATGATAAAAAATATATATCCATTTTATTTTCTAGCTA